TGCGCAACGCCCTCAGCTATGCACCTGGCATTGTCAACATGTCGGCTACTGTGTCTGATGGCTCGGCGCGCGGCAAGACTTACAAGGATGCAGACAAGTGGAAGACAAGCATCAACTACGGTGGGATGCTGCAGATCTGCAATCATTGCACAGACCTAGACTCGAGACATCCAAGGTTTGATGGTGGTTGCGGATCAGCTAAAGCCAAACAAACCGCACGTGACAGTGGCATGGAGAGTGTGGCAGCAGTTCAATGTTGTCTAGTTTACATATGGCATGCCTCATCTATGCATCACTCACAGGTGGTGAGGCTGCTGAACAGCATGTCGTACACATCAGAAGCTGGCAAGCCCACTCAAGGCTGTGCGCTCTTCTGTTGCTGATGCTGAAGGTTGAAGTGGAGTCTGCTGTGAGAAAATCCATCACGGTGCATCTGAAACCTGCAGCTGTTGCATTCTGCTCCTGCTGTTGCATTCAGAACCTGCAGCTGTTGCATCCAGAACCTGCATGCGTGTCGTCAATTGAAAAGACAGTTCCACGCATGGTAAATGCACAAAGCGCACCTGCGCACCTGCAAGCAATGCTGGACCAGAAGCCTCCCTGCCCGAAGGCTCCTGGTGCTCCAAGTGGGCTCATCATGCAGGCACAGCACATTTGTCGATGCAGGCGCCAGGACCATGAAACCGTGGTCACCAACATTTGAGACTCTGAGTTGGCAGCCCTAACGGCGTTGACGCTACTGCTGCTGCTGCAGGTGGCATGCGGCTGGGCGTAGGGGGTGCGAGTGTGCAGGCCATGCACAGCCTGCCATTGCCCTGGACAGCCTCGGCCTCACCGATGTATCTGTGCTCCAGGTGCGCCTTGCGAGCAAGACGAGACTCCTTGCGAAAAGCAATCCTCTGCAGCTGCATTGGGACGGTTGTGCATCCATCTGACAACGTGTTGCAGTATCAATGCTGGATGTGGTTGCAGCACTGCGCCGCGGCAACCTCGTGTGTGTGCTGAACCCAAGCCCTGAACTTTTGCTCCGCGTTGAAGGCTGCCTGCTGTGAGCTGCTGCTGATGCACTGCATGGCATCGTGGTACGTTCAATTGCACATTTGTCAAATTGCTCCCTGCAGGTGGACATCCAAGGGGCTGAGAAGGCCATGTTCTATGGTGCCCAGGAGACCATCAAGTGAGCAGATGACAAAGGCACAGCGTGGCACTGCAGATGGCAGGCATGCAGTGGTGTGTCAACAACAAGTAGCAGTTGCAAGCTCGGTTACAGTCAATGGGGTTGTGTTTTTGTGTCGCATGAGAAGCAGGCTTGCCTGCTTGTGCCCATGCTCTTCCGTGCGAAATTTCAAAAACAAGGAATGCTTACATGCTGATGTCCAGTTTTAGGTCCTTTGCTTACATACAAATGACAAATGTACTACATAGTATGTAATTTCTATGTATACAAGGACAGGTGTGTCAACACAAGTACCACTAGTAGAGCGGCATCATCAAGCTGTAGAGCCCCCTGGGGAGCGTCATGGCCCTCCGGCAGCTGTGTGGAAAACAGCTAGCTAGCTAGCTATCTAGCTATAGCTACACGCACACCGCAACCCGCACTTGTCGCTTGAGTTCTGTAGCACGTATCAGTTGCTGCCAGCTTCTGCTGTCTCCCTGTCTTGTGTGGCTGGCAACATGCTGGGTGTTCCGATACGCCACCAGGAACGCTGCCCCGTTGTTTAAAGCCACCCTTGCTTGCGTGTTTGTACATGTCTGCTTCCTGCAGGCGCAGCCTACCTGTGATTGCGTATGAGGCAGCAGAGCGCGGTGCTGCTGCTGAGCTGGACACCCTGCTAAACCTGCCGCAGCACGTGAGGGACTTCAGGATCGAGGAATTCCTTGCATCCCTCGGGTACTCTGTGGAAAAGACCACCTGGGACAACATCGCGCGACCGCCAGGCAAGCACGCTGCTGCTGCTGCTGGCGGTGGCGGTGGTGGCCGCCGCAGTGTGCTTGCACTGCCACCACGCAGGCGCTGATGCTTTGAGAGGCCAGGCGGAGCAACGGCTGCTGCTAGCAGTGTAAGATATGAATTATTCATGTAAGGACGAATGAATATACTGTGATGTGCTTGCCTTGCTTGTGCCTCAGGCTGGTGGTGCTGTTCAAGATGCATTTCAACCAGATGTGGCCTGGAAGTAGTGCGGGTGACTCAAGCTTTGGTGATAGCTTGTCCTCTTCTGCAAGAGCTTTCTAGTAGAAGTTAGGTAGGTCGGTAGAAAGTAGGTAGGTAGAAAGTTTCTACCAGCAAAACCAGTGTGTGGGACGAGGGGAGGTGCGTGTATCATATGATATGCACTATTGTATTGTATTGTATCATGCTCAAAGTGCTGCACCTGATGAGGGCCTCAGATGGCCAGGTTGCAGATGTAAAAGAACAATTTCTACGACTCCTTGACTCGTTGTGAGGGCAGCGTCAGGTATGTGTGCTGGGTTGGAGATCAGAGGTTGGAGATCAGAGGTGGCAAAGGCTGCGACCTGCACACTGGCAGTTTTGGGGTAAACACAAGCTGCAAGTTTGCAAGCTCTCAGGCCACGTACGTCACGCGTGCCCAAGTCTTATCGGCAGTTCGTGAGCGTTATTGGAAGCTTTTTGTCGATTTTGGTGGTTCTGATGGCCCAGGCAATGCCGTGAGCCCTGGTGGTCGTAGCATGGCTGACTTTATGCAGCAGAGACAGAGCAGGGTTCATACATCACTGCTTTCTGGTTCGGGATAATCTTGAGACGATTGCTTTGCTTCCTGGCGTATCTAGTGCCTCAGAGACTGAGTGCTCTGAGCTTGTGGAGGTCTCTGACACTTGGTATCTGTCACCCCCCCCCCCCCCTCCCCCCCCCCCCCCCCCCCCCCCCCCCCCCCCCCCCCCCCCCCCCCCCCCCCCCCCCCCCCCCCCCCCCCCCCCCCCCCCCCCCCCCCCCCCCCCCCCCCCCCCCCCCCCCCCCCCTCCCCCCCTTCTTTTGCAAGATTAGTTGGATTCTTGCTGAACCCCATGAGCCTTGTCTGGCTCCTTTGTGGGTGGGCCTGTGGCCCTACTTTGGTAACTGGTAACTGGTTATCAGTCAACAATCCAAGGTTGGCTTTTACACCCAGAGCTCATGGTACTGGAGGACGGACTGGGGGACGGACTCATCGCGGCGCCGGCAGTGGGCTTGTGACGTCTAGGCATGTCGCCCACTGCACTTGCACAAATTGAGAGAGGTCTGTTACAGGGGTGGGCAAGCTATCGCCCTAGAGCGAGTCACTTGCCCCTCTTTCAGCTCACATATCATGGGAACCCGATAGCAAGCCACAAGATGCAACCAAAGTAAAACTCCAGAGGCATCTTGCAGCCCCTACCTCCCCATAAACCAACAAGTACATGCAGTGCAGCATGTGCGAAGTGCAGCACGAAAGCAGCAGGGTGCTCAAAGCACAGGGCACAAAACGCACAAGGGAAGGCAGGCATGGTCCAAACAGCAAGCGGGATGCACAATGGTGCTGCTTACCATAGGTGTTTGGCATGATTGCACCAAGGCACTGCTGTACACACCAGACTGCAGCAAGCAGGAGCACGCGGGACCGACAGGAGACACTGCATGTGGCATGCAAACTAAGGTGCTACTGCTTCTGCAATCCTCATGGCTGGCAAGCATAGCAGCACGCAATGCGACACACAGAGCTGAAAAACCAAGCACAGTGACACACGACATGCAACATGGCCTTGCCAGAAAGTGGAAAACGGACAACTACTGACAGCACATCATGTAAAAGCAGGAAGGTCAACCAGAGCGGGGCGCCAGTACAATGCGCAGCTGTGCTGGATCAGAACGCAAAAACGGGTGATCTCCAGGCACCGCAACACGCCAATGAGCCGGCGCAGCCTCCATTGCCACAAAATCAGCAAGCAGTTCCCAAACCGCAAAACCGCCTGCTGCTTCGCCTCCTGTAACACCTGCGCTATTAGTTGCTGTCGCTGTTGTTGTTGTTGCAGCCGCTGCTGCTGCCTACGCTGCTCAACCAGCTGGTTATGCTGTTGCTGCGCAGCAGTGAGAGCTGCAGGCTGAAACACATCTGTAATAGGTACCTGCCATTGCGGCGGCGGCGCAGACGGCCGCGGCGCAGCAGGCGCGGACGGCGGAATGTGCAGCGTGTTAGCCTGCCGTCTGCCAACATCCACGGCATTCAGAGCAGCTAAGCATTACATTACATTACATTACATGCTCCACTCAACGAGGAGTGGGAACCCCAGTCAGGAGCCAACGAGAGGCTCATAGGGGGAGGAAACATCGAAGAACAACTCATCATCATCCCAACCGTCAGAAGAGATCGCAGAAAGAAACTCATCAGCATCATCAATAACTTGAGCAATAGCCTGACAGGACAGAAGGACCTCAGGATCAGTCTAAGCAAATAACCCCCCAAACACCCTGGTGGAGCCGCTTAGGGCCAGGAGGCCGCTGCATCAACCAGACATGCCGCATAGCAAGCGGCGCTACATGTCCAATTTGCGGGTTGCGATGGATGAACGTGTAGGTGCGGCGCGTAGGGTGCAAGCACCGGTACGCATCAGCAGCACCTGGTGCCGCTGCTTGCCAAGCCCGCGTGGATGGGGCGTCGGGCGTGGTGGGCTGGCCGGCAAGGCAGCGTCTGTCGGCCGCAGGATCATCAACTCTTGCACTGCAGGAATTTGCAGCTCAGGAGAGTCCAACAAATGGGAAGTAATGTTGCTGCTGTTGGTGCTACTGTTGGCAGCACGGCGACGGGCGGTGTGATTGACAAGCGCAAGCACCGTGCTTTCGACGCAGCGACTGCGTCGACACACGCAAGGACAGCCGCAACAATCGCAAAGCCAGCAGATACCAGCCAAGCCAGGTGCCAGCCTATACGCCAGCTGTTGCCTCTGCACAGGAACCCTATGCCAGGTGTCAGCCTATACGATACAGCTGCCTCTGCACTAGGAACGCAGTGTCACATTACAAAAATTGCTCTCGTCCAGGTTCGAACTGGAGACCTTTCGCGTGTGAGGCGAACGTGATAACCAACTACACCACGAGAGCTGATGATAGGATGTCACACAACCATTTTTCAACTTCATGATCGGCGACATAATTAGGGTTTAGGGTTTAGTGCGCGCATTTTCGAAACCTGGTGTCAACAGTACCTGAACCCGCTTTTTGCAGTGGCACCCGCGCTGCTGTAACAGACCTCTCTCGCGCTGCTTGCAGGCTTTGCTGGATAGGCGCAACGCTGCTGATGGAGCAACTCCAGCGCAAGACACGGGCACACATACAGCTGCTTCCCTATGCTATGGCTTGATGGGTAACATGATGATGATGCAGCTGCTTCCCTCCGTATCAAGTGCACCAGGACACCAGCAGTGGCTGCCCTTTATATCTGTACGAGCTGCTGTCAACACCAAGCATGGCACGCTGCAGATACATGCTGCACACAGCTACGGCTTGCCCTGCAAGGGCTGTGCAACAGCAACAACACCTCATCCATCACCCCACCATACAAAACAACATGTAAAGTTACACATCCAGGTCCCGTATGTCGCCCAGCCGCGACGTCAGCACTGCCTTCTTGTGCTGCTGTCTCCGCCGCACCCGCCGCCACCCGAGCAGTGCAGCTGCCCCGCACGCCACCCATAGCAGCAACCCCCCAGCGCCAAACAGCAGCAGCACCACTGCCTCCCATACAGAGGCCGTTATTTTCCACCATGCTGTGTCGTACATGCTGCCTGCACCACCCAGCAGGTGTGGGTACAGCTCTAGGAAGACAACTGCCAGCCAGCCTGCAGCTTCTAACAGAGCCACTTTGATCACAAACCTGTGGCAGCAGCAGCAGCAGCAGCAGCAGCAGCAGCAGCAGCAGCAGCAGCAGCAGCAGTGAAGATGAGTATCAGGTTGCATCGTCAAGCTGTAACTGATGCTCTGCAGCACACAACGGCCCATTTTCAAACGCGACCAGCAGACAGTACATGCACAGCACGATTGACACGTGGCGCTGTATTGCTGATGTGTGTGCATATGCAGCAGTGCGGCTGAAACGGCTTGGTGAATCACCACATATGTCTGTCCTGATGGATCCGCTGGCTGTGTTGTGTACACCGTCTGGCGGCAACTTGTGCGGCAGGTGACACAATGTCATAACATGTCATATAACGGTCTCACAGCACGCCGCACCTAAAGATGACAATGGCCGCTACTGCAGCCACCAGCAGGCCAGTGAACAGTCTGTCATTGTAATCCTTGCCAAATTGCGACCTGGCCTGACTCCATGCCAGCTGCAGCCGCTCCGCGCTGCTGCTGCGCGCAGGCCCCACGCACTTGGCCTGCAGCAAGACACCAGCAGCAGCATCGCCCTGCATATCAACACCCTTGGCTGCTGCTGCTGCTGATCATCCAAACCCCATCGCAAGCAGCTGCAGCTGCTGATTGTACATTAGGAAGGGATGTTACTGGTCAATGCCTTTGCAGCACTTTCCCCTGGCCCCCCAAGAAGTTCTGCACAGCTCAGGAAGCCACCCGCAGCACTGCCACGTTACAATAGATGTTATTAACATTACTGACAACACACCTCAAACGTGGCTAGGCACGCCTTGTAGCGCCCCTCAAACTGCCGCATGGAAGGGATCTGCAGGCCCCGCGCCATGCTAGCCAGCAGCTTTGAACAGGCCATCTCATGCGCCTGGCACACCACATTGCTTTCTGCTACATTGGCTGTGCGCTTCGCCTTGGCTTCTTTTGTGATGGCTGCTTCGAGCTGCGCTGTGAGGGCCTCTGCCTGGCGGCGGCCGAGCAGCTGCTCTTTGAAGACACCCAGCGCCTCGTCCCGCGCTCGGTTTTCGGCCTGCACAACAAATCAAACAAGTTTAGATCTCAGGTGCCGCAAGACGATGAGCAGCTGCTCCTTGGTTACTGCAAGCGCCTCATCCCGCACTCAAGTCTCAGCCTGTGCTATGCAAACAGGTTCAAAATCAAAGCTCTAAAAAGGTGTGCGGGAAAATGGACATCAAACAGCACCAATGAATGTTGGGCAGTGAGGGCATCTGCTTGGCGGCGGCCGAGTAGCTGCTCCTTGAAGACAGCCAGCGCCTCCTCGCGCGCTCTGTTCTCAGCCTGCAGAATTCAAACAGGTTCAACCGCAAATGTGAGGCAAGGTTAGCGGCAAGATGATGAGCAGCTGTTCCTTGAATACTGCAAGTGCCCCATCCCGTGCTCGGTTCTCAGCCTGCACAGCGGTTCAAACACGTATTTCAAAGTCAACGTTGATAGTTTCAAAGTTCAAGCGCAGGTTTGCAGCAATTTGATGACCGAACAGCAGCATCGAATGCTGCTGAAGGAGCTGAAAGTTTGCAAGGATCAGCGCTTTTGCTAGTAGCAGCGGCTGCTGACTGAACCGGTGCATGTTGTGTTGCTTGACATTGCAGCCGTTTCCTTGTGTAACTTCAACCCACCCACCCACCTGATCCAGCACAGACTCGTCCACAGGCAGCTGCACTGCTTGATCCAGCGCCTCTGTAAACTACTCTGTAACTGTGTGTGTGTTACACAACTTTGTGCAAGTAAACACCGAACCAGCCCACCCACCTGATCCAATACAGACGCGTCCACAGGCAGCTGCACTGCCTGATCCAGCGCCTCTGTGAATGCAGCCAGAGCCTTGGACACCGCCTCTCGATTGAAGCTCGCTATCAGGCCAGCACCTGTTGGTATCTCCTTGGCATTCAGTGCTGCAATGAGGCTCTGCAGCAGGGCAGCCAGCCGCTTGCCTGCAAGGGTGAAAACATGTACGGTGAGCAGCACAGCAGATGAAGCTGTTGTTGATGCCGTGTTTTGGCACGTTGTGGCACCTGTGATGTGCCTGTTGTGGGCGTGCTACGCCTGGGTTTACCCGATGTGCGTACATGGCAAGGGATGTCCCTTGCAGCATCAAATCGAGGAGCAACAGTTCAGGAACACAACAACGCTGCAGCTGAGCAGGCAGACTTCTCAACCATCTTGAAACTATGTAATGGTCGGCAGTGCCACTAGCAGCATTCCCAGAAAAAAATGCAGCAAGCAAAAGCAGCGACAACAGCCTCACCTGTGAGTGCCTCGCCGCCCACCACCTTCTGTGCAGCCTGCTGCAGCACCAGCCGCTTCAGCGCATCCCTTTGAGACACGTAACTGGGCTCCAGCTGCGAGTCATTCAGCTCACACAGCTTGGTGCGGTCCAGGTGCGGCTGCGGCAGGCTGCAGCAGCAACAGCAGCAACAGCAGCAACAGCAGCAGCAGCAGCAGCAGCAGCAGCGGCAGCAGCAGCAGCAGCGGCAGCAGCAGCAGCAGCAGACTAGTGAGGTCGACCAGCTTGGTGCGGTCCAGGTGCGGCTGCGGCAGGCTACAGCAGCAGCGGCAGCAGCAGCGGCGGCAGCAGCGGCGGCAGCAGCCAGAACAGTAGCAGTAGACATGCATGGGTGCCCATTGCTGTGCGAAACAGTCGATGGCAGGAAGGATTGACAGCATGCAGTGTGCTTCAATCGGTAGCGTGAAGAGCAGAGGCTTAGCAGTGCACCTACTGTATTTACACACACCGACACAACACTCCGGCACACAGACCTAGACGCCTTGACACAACAAAAACAATGCACCCCAGCCCACCTGAATCCCGTGCTGTTGCGTGCAATGCTTGCCAGGGATGCCCGTATGTTGTTGGTCTCTGTGATCGCTTTGTCCTGCTGTGGGTTGGGCACTGGCGCCAGTGCATCTTTCACCAGCTGCTGCACTGACTTGCCTTGCAGGAAATCCCGCTGGATCACCCACAGCATGCTGCCTGGCTCTACTGGTACTGCTACGCTGCTCTGCACGCATGAAGAGCGTCAGCAACACAGAAGCGTGGTTAGTTAGCCTGGATGGTTTGAAGATGAGGTGTGCAGCGAGAGCAGAGCGCTGGATGACCCACAGCATGCTGCCAGGCTCTACAGGCACTGCTACGCTGCTCTGCACATGTATTTAGTGTTAGCAGTAACAAGGATATGGTTAGAGGTGAGCCTGGATGGTTTGCAGGTGTGGTGTGCAGTGAACCAGTGACCCACAGCATGCTGCCTGGCTTGACAGGCACTGCCGTGCTGCACTGCACTGTGAAGTGTGATGAGCGTTAGCAAGCAAAAGGGGGCAATGAGTCAAGACATGAAGAAGGCAAGGGGATGAATAGATTGATTAGAAGGCTCGCCCCCAAAACAAGTGTGGCATGCTGAGGAAAAAGCCGAACCTGCTGACGGACCTGCACGAGCCGAGGATGGGACACACAAGGATGTTTGGGTGCAGCTCCTGCACACACACACATAGATACTGCACCTGCAGCTTACATCAGCTTTGTGGCCGCACCTTGTTGGTCTGGTCGTAAAACCCTGCTGCCAGCTCAACCACAAACGAAAGCTTAGACACGTCGCTGCCCCTGCAGGCAGCCAGACACGGAATGCCTCAGCGCCAGAGCCGCTGCCGACTGAAACAAACAGCCAGGCATGCGTTGCTATGGCTTCATTGATTGGTAACATGATGACGTGAGTCAGCCAGGCAGGGGGCGCCAGGCAGGGGATGCCTCAGTGCCAGGGTCGCCGCCGAGTTAACTCAAACGGCCGCGGCTGTCTATAGCAAGCAGCTGGGTCCACATGCCACCAGCCAAGTGTTGATAGATTGGGTGTGCAAGCGCGGATGTCATTCCTGCACCCTTTGCCTGTCCTGTGTCGACGGTTAGAACCGCTGATCTCACAATGCCACCTGCGCCCCTTCGCGCTGCTGCACATGCATACGGCGGCTGCCCCTGCTGATCCAAGTAAAGTCACAACCGCTCGCAACTGCTGACTGTGCTGCCGCATCGTCGTCGCTGCTGCTGCTGCTGCTGCTGCTGCTCACCTGATTGTTTCTGGTAGGTTGTAGATCAGCAGTGAGCTCATCACTGTGGCCACTGCAAACACGCGGTCATCGTAGCTGTTGCTGCGCCCGGTGCTCTCAAAGCCTTCCGTGTCAATGTACAGCAGCTGCGGCACAATTCAAGGGTTTTGCAAGGGTTTTGT